TTCCGGATTAACCTTCGCTGTGGGAAACATCGCTGTGCGGGAGGGAAAAAGCCATAGAAACGCATTGAACTTTGTTCAATGCGTTCCTATGGCTTTCAAACTCACCGTTCAGCGAAGTTCCTCCATAGGCGGCAGCCATTTTCACGCCCTCCCCTCGCAGAACGCAGCCATTTCGGGGCGTCCGCAGCGTTTTCGCGCGCTCCCCTTGCTTACCAAGGGCGCGAAAACGCTGCGCCCCGGCCCCTTTCGGCTGTTCCGGCGGCCATTTTTTACCCGCCGAACAGCTGATGGCAGCCATTTTGGCGCCCTCGTTCTGCGAGGGGAGGGCATGAAAATGGCTGCCGCCTATGGAGGAACTTCGCTGAACGGTGAGTTTGAAAGCCATAGGAATGCATTGAACAAAGTTCAATGCGTTTCTATGGCTTTTTCCCTCCCGCACAGCGATGTTTCCCACAGCGAAGGTTAATCCGGAACGGATTAACCTCGCTGTGCGGGGCACCACTGTAGTGGGAACTGGATGGAAATCTAGTTAGGATACATTTCACTCGTCTAACCCTAGGTTCAAGTCCTTGTATATTTAAATGGCTATATATATTGTCATTTATAGTTTACAGCAGTAAGAGAGAGATATTTTCTCCAAATAATTTATATATCAAATCCCACAACTTTGTGAGTTGTGGTAGAAGTGAAAAGCTTGTGAACCTATGGGCATTCTGTTTGAGTGGGAGCAGTACGTGAGCATGGGACTTTTAAGTGGACACTTTATGTGGACAGAGAAGGAAGGGAAGAAACTGAAAGGCTGTAATTAAATTGTTAATATATTGGGCAAAATCCTGTTGTGCAGTGAGAATGATGTCATTGTCAGCATAGGAGTGCCACTAACTGAAGACTTTCACAGCCCACACACAGAGATGAAGTTGCATGCATCCCACAAATTTTTTTAAGAAGGAAGCCAGTAAATTAGCAGCAGTCTGCATTCCTAACAGTTTTTCAGCCATTATTATTGGTGATTAATTTAAATGAAAACAAAACCTAGCCAAGTTTGAATGGTAATCTGAGAGCAGCATTTCAGTCAGATTATACTATCATAAAGCAATAATTATACTTGTGGTCAGTTGAATAGAAACATTAGATAAATCAGAAGTCAACTTTGGTGTTGAATACTTTATAATACTGTATCTTTGTATCTACAGATTGGTGATAGCATTGTGCACAAAGCCAGAGAAACCCTGGAGCGAGCAATAAAACTGGTGAATGATACAAAAAAATGGGGAGCACGGGTTGTATATGGAGACACAGATAGGTACGAAGGATATTCTTTTACTTAGGAAACTTCCAAACCAGGTTGAATAGGAGAAGGATGGCTCAGGGAGAGGGAAAGTCCTCCTCCCTTGGAAAGGGAACCACGGTACAGGAAAAGGTTGAAGAGAGAAAAGCTTCTTCTCAGGGTGCTGGTCCTTTTTGTTTTGTTGACACTTATAAAGTTTCCTGCTTTATGAGTGGCTTCTTTAACTTCTTCGTGGCCTCTGTGAATCACACCCTGGGTGATTCATGCCTCATCGGAAGATTTTAGAGCTTCTGTGGTAGCAATAATCATATTAGAATATGTCCCTCCCCACCCATATAAGTACCTTGGCGCCAAGCATCCCCTTTCAGTTTCTTTCAGCTGCCGCATTGAGAGCCTCATAATTCTGCTTCTGTGAGTAAAAGAGAAAGAGAGCTTATTCTTGATTCCTTCCTGTTATCAATATTTTTTCTTTTAAACTATTAAACTCTTTATCATCAGAGACTTTTTCTTTCCTCTCGCTTGGCCTTCGGCCACAGCACATAAACCCCTCCAAAATATTGGTTTTTCTCCTCAATTATTTTCCCCTATTCACCTTTGGCCCACTTAAATTATTTTCCCCTATTCATGGCCCCTTTGGCCCACTTAAGCACTGCATTGTCTGTGATAATAAGATCCCACTTTCCGACAGACATGCTAAGTGCCTTTTCTGTTTGGGAGAACAACATCAAACCCTGTAGGGCCACTTCCCAAACCAAAGCAATGGAAAAATCCATTACTGAATTTTTGAAACAACGTCCATCGGTTAGACCAGCTCATTCTGATTCTCCATCTGCATCATCTAAGACCTTGACACACAAATCGAAACCCTCCATACCAAAGTCCTCAACTTTGAAAACAACTTCTAATTGTCAGAGACCTACTGAAGTTGCTCCAGCTACGGTGCCTGTTCCTCCTAAACGATCTAAACAGTCTAAATCTATGGACTTCCCACCACAACTTTCTGAATCAGTTTTGGTCGGATCTCCCTCAGATGATGACAGACTTCCGTCCCATCAACCCTGTTCTCCAGAACGGGGTGATAGAGTCGACCAACTAACTTCCTCTCCTTCCAGTCCACAACCTTCCATTCCTTCCAGCAATCCTTCAGTTATTCCATCGCCCGAGGATTCCCATCCTGAATGGCTTGACACCATTCCATATTTGATGCCCTCAGATCGCCCACCGATCCCTCGATGGCTCTGACCATGGATCTCTGCTGCAGACTCCATCGGTGTTACTTACCTCTCCAGAGTTGGACATTGTCGATACTGACCCGCTGTCACCAGCAGAGGATTTCCAGACCTATGTCAAACTTATGAGTCGCATGGCTAAATCTCTTGATCTGCAAATCCACTGACCATTGACAGAACCAGCCAATCTATATGATCCGATATCTGAAACTACAACCACTCCGGTAAACATATCGATGTTGCCATCTCTCCTTAGTACTGTGCAGAGATCCTAGACAGAACCAGCTTCCTCCCATACCATGTCTAAGCGGATTGATGGCCTCTATGGAATTCATGGCCCAGGAGCCATTTTCCTCCAGAAATAACCAGCTCCAAATTCTATATTTGTTCAAGACTCTCAATCAAGACCTCAACATCAACAATCTCTTGTACCACCAAATAAAGACAGCTGACGAACAGATGCCATGGATAGATGGCTTTGCTCTTCCGCAGCCTTCACCGTGCAAGTTGCTAATTATCAAGGAGCCATGGGAGCTTACCAATGCTTCATCTGGGACAACATGTCCACCTTTATTGAATCCCTGCCAGAGGATAAAAAGATACCAGCTCAACCCTCCAACAAGAAGGTCTCCCCATTGCTAAACAACAGATGCTTTCTGCCTGCCACACCATAGACACTACAGCCAAGTCCATGGCCACCCCTATGCCATTTTTCCTGGCTCAGAATGGCTGGCTTAGTCGAAGATGCTCAAGCACGTATCAAAGACCTCCCAGTCTAAGGAGCAGGTCTTTTTCATGCTGAAATTGATGATACACTACAGAATGCCAGGTCTTTTTCATGCTGAAATTGATGATATACTACAGAATGTACAAAAGAAATGTTCAGCAGCCAGACGTTGGGGAGTTTACCCTTCCTACCAGCAATGTCCTTAGCAAAATCAATGGAAATGACCCTAAAACGCGTACCAGAAGTTCCAACGAGGCCCTCCACAACAAACCTCTTACAATCCATACATACTTCAAAAACCAAAGAGCCAAAACCTGGCAACAGCCTGCCACTAGGCAGAATGACCGAAAACCGAAACACCATGTTTGACGTTCCTCTGGCCAAGATCACCACCCACCCCATCAACCCTGCCCTCTGGAAACACTTACCTGCATGGGAATCCATCACCACAGATTCCTGGGTACTCTCCATCATCAAAAATGGCTACCGCATCCACTTCTTTGAACTTGCTCTGACAACACTCGTTGTTACTCCACTGTCACAACCCCTGCAAGAAGAAATAATAAGTTTACTTCTGAAAGATGCCATACAACCCGTCTATCAAAACAACACCGGGTTTTTCTCTTGCTATTTCACCGTCCCCAAGAAAGATGGAGGACTTTACCCTATTCTAGATTTACCATTCTTAAACTAAACAACTACATTGTCACCACAAAATTTTGCATGATTACTCTAAAATCAGTTCTTCCCTTACTTCGAAAAAACAACTGGTTCACCGCCATAGACCTAAGAGATGCTTACTTTCATATTGCAATACATTTGTTTCCAACTTGGATCACAAGCATACCAATTCAAAAGACTCCCATTCAGCCTTGCAACAGTTCCAAGAGTATTCACCAGGTGCATTGCGCCTGTAGCTACCTCCCTCAGACTTTAAAACATTCTCGTCTTTCCATATATTGACAACTGGCTCCTTGTAGCACACTCTTGTTGGAAATCTTGACGAGACACCCATTTTATCCTCACCTTTAAAACAGCTTTTCGCGTAGCCATCACCTCAGCTCGACAAGCTAATGAACTGGCAGCTTTACACTGTGACTTCCCTTGTTAGTCACTCAGGGTGTGATTCACAGAGGCCATGAAGAAGAACGACAGGTTACCCACCTGTAATTGTAGTTCTTTTTGAGTGGACCTCTGTGATTCACACATACTGCTCGTCTTCCCCTTTGTCACACTATTGTTTGCTTATTATTAAGCAGTGGTTGACACAATTGAAAGGGGATGCTTGGCACCAAGGTACTTTTACGGGTGGGCAGGGGCATATTCTAATATGTTTATTGCTACCATAGACAGTCTAGAATCTTCCGATGAGGCTCTGCGCATGCACGAATCACCCAGGGTGTGAATCACAAAGGTCCACTCAAAGAACTACAATTACATATGGGTAACCTCTCGTTCTTCTTCAGTGCTAGCCACAAGATGATTCTTCATTGGTGAATAACATGGTGATGCTAAAACCTATGGAGACAGTTCTTTCTTGTTTTCATGGGGTAGCATAACCCTAGGCAGCATATCTATGTACAGTGGTGCCTCGCTTGACGACGTTAATCTGTTCCAGCAAAATCACTGTAGAATGAAATTGTCATCAAGCGAAAGTAAAAAGCCCATTGAAACGCATTGAAAACCACTCAATGCGTTCCAATGGGCGCAATACCTCAGCGTCCAGCGAAGATCCTCCATAAGGCGGCCATTTTCTAATGTTGGGCGAAATACCTCAGCGTCCAGCGAAGATCCTTCATAAGGTGGCCATTTTCTAATGTCTGCAATGCAAGGAATCCATCCTAAGCACAGTGGGCAGCCATTTTGAACAGCGGGGAGCCATTTTGAAACCTGACGATCAGCTGTTTTCTGATTGTCGTAAAGCAAAAAATCGGTTCCCGAAGCAGGGAACTGATCATCGTCAAACAAAAAACCTCAGCGTCCAGCGAAGATCCTTCATAAGGTGGCCATTTTCTAATGTCTGCAATGCAAGGAATCCATCCTAAGCACAGTGGGCAGCCATTTTGAACAGCGGGGAGCCATTTTGAAACCTGACGATCAGCTGTTTTCTGATTGTCGTAAAGCAAAAAATCGGTTCCCGAAGCAGGGAACTGATCATCGTCAAACAAAAAAAAACCCATTCAATTAGGGAACTGATCATCGTCAAACAAAAAAAACCCCATTCAGAGGGAACTGAGCAATCGCAATAGCGATCACAACCACATCATGAAATGATTTCATCATTAAACGGGGTAATCGTTAAGTGGGGCACCACTGTATAAGGAACATCCTGGACTCATGGGGTAGCAAATCTACACATTATGTATCCATCTCCATTCTGACACATTGTTTGGGGTCATGTCAGCACCATGAAGCTTTTCCCAGCCTCCCGTTTTCCAGACAGCTAGAGTTTCCTGCCCTATATGGGAGCCAGACCTGCATCTGAGCCATCTTCTTGCCCCTTTTTCTGGCTTATTCTTAAATGTGTTACTTTGAGTAACAACACATAATTGTATGTGTTGAGTTGAGTTGATTTATATAGGAACCCTTAAACAAACATGATTCTTGATTTCTTCGAGCATCAATTGCTTGCCTATACATTTTTTGTTCTCTATCCCAAGAAAGAAGAAATGTCACTGTATTGCCTAAATAATTATAGGAAATATTTTTAAATAGCTGTTTCCTAATTTTCTTCCTTTTTCAGCATGTTCGTACTACTGAAGGGTGCAACCAAGGAACAGTCTTTTAAGATTGGCCAAGAGATTGCAGAAGCGGTAACAGCTACCAACCCCAAACCTGTAAAACTGAAGTTTGAAAAAGTAAGAGAAAAAACTACATTTGATAAATTCATTAATTTATACCCTGCCTTTCTGCCAAAATACAACTTTTTGCAAAAACTCAGCAACAAAATTAAAAAAGATACACAGTTAAAACATTGGTAAAGGTAAAGGTTCCCCTTGACATTTTCAGTCCAGTCGTGTCCGACTTTAGGGGGTGGAGCTCATCCCGCTTTTCAAGCCATAGAACCAGTGCCTGTCCGAAGACAGTTTTCCGTTGTCACGTGGCCAGCATGACTAGGGAACACCGTTTTACCTTCCCACCGACATGGTACCTATTTATCTACTCGCATTTACATGCCTTCGAACTGCTAGGTTGGCAAGGAGCTGGAACAAAGCAATGGGAGCTCACTCTGTCGCGTGGATTTGATCTTACGACTGCTTGGTCTTCTGACCCTGCAGCACAGGCTTCTGCGGTTTAGCCCACAGTGCCACCATGTCCCTCAAAACAATGAAATTAGCCCAAATCCAGTGATTTACTTCAGCAAGATTTCACACTTCTATCAGAATTGGTGATGCCATCTCCTCCCCTGTGTACCTAGAAGTCTGGTCTGGAGTGCAGGGACACCCTCTGAAGCAGATTTTATTTTAATACCACCACAGTTTGCAGCAACAGCAGGACAATCCCAATTGCCCTGGATTTAGATACTGGCCATATATTTAAAACATGAAACATATTAAAGAAAAATAAAGCACTCAAACCTCCTCCAACAGCAACCTGATTTAAATATCTGTCTGAGAAAACATATTTGCATTTCATGTTTTGAAAAATTCAGCTAGTTTTTTGTCATTCCAGTTTTTCCAGAAGTAAATAAGGAACTCTGTTTAAGAAAAGCATTCTTAGTGCTGCTTGATTTAATAATGCACTTTTAGGAAGATAACAGAACGAACAAGTACGGGATTAATTCATAATACATTATTCAAATTCCTTATAGCATAGAGAGATCTGCACGCTTCTGTACTGAAATCTGTCCTGTTAGAAATGCAAATAAAGGAACATAGCTTCAGAAATAGAATGATGATGTAGCAATACCAGGTAAAAGGATCCAGTTAGGTCCACCTATTTTAATGCTATGTCAGACATGTATTATGTAAGTCAGAATCACACTGAGATTTTGCCTTCCCTTAAGAAATCACTGTAGACAGTATCTGTTGCAACAGATAATACCTATGGTGATTTCTTAACTTGAGGCATTTTATCTCCAGAGGTGAAATGTGTGTTATGCTTATCTGTGTGTTATGGTTATGAAAGTGCAGTGGTGCCTCAACTTATGACTGTCCCTACTTATGACAGTTTTGATTTACGACCAGCTCCGGCTGCAAAATTTTGCTTCGACTAGTGGCCGGAGCTTCTAGTTACGAACACAAAAAGGCAGGAGGAAAAGGCAGGAAATTCAAATTGCTAACTGTAGGTGGCGACGGGGCTGCTTCTTTCCAACTCTTTCACCCCAGCAGTTAAAGAGTGTGCGATCAGAGGAGGCTGCCTGGTAAAGTAATGTGCTGTTTTCTGCTTTTTAAAAACTGTTCTGGGTGGGTTTTGCAGAGTGGTTTTGGGCGGGGGGTTTGTTTCTGTGCTGTGTTGTTTTGTTTTTTGCTTTTTTTTGTTTTTTTGTGTTTTTTTGCAGCTGCAGCGCCTTGCAACAGGTCTTGCTCCTTTATTTTTGGTTGGTTTTTTTTTTTTTTTGCAGCACCTTCGGGGCTTGCTTTGCTGTTTATTTTTGGTTTGGGTTTTTTCTAAAACCCCAGCGCGGAGCTTGCTGTGTGCTTTATTTTTGGTTTGGGTTTGTTTGTTTGTTTGTTTTGAAAGCTCCAGCGACAGAGCTTGCTTTGCTGTCTATTTTTGGTTTGGGTTTTTTTTTAAGCCCCAGCGACAGAGTTTGCTTTGCTGTTTATTTTTGGTTTGGGTTTTTAAAGCCCCAGCGCCTTCCGACTGGGCTTGCTGTGTTTGTGTGGTTTTGTTGCTGTTGTTTTGTTTTGCCGGAACAGATTAATCGTGTTCCAGTGTATTTCAATGGACAATGGTGCTTCGATTTACGACCATTTCGAGTTACGTCCATCTTCTGGAATGGATTATGGTCGTAAGTCAAGGCACCACTGTAGCTAGGATTGTGGTCACAAATTCAGTTGTTTCAGCTTTTGAGATCTGTTGTGATTTTTAGTAATATATTGCATTTTAAAGTCTACATAAAATAAACTATTCTATTTTACTCCCCAGTAGCTCAATTCACTCTTACACTTTCTGCCATTTATGTATTGCCATAGGTTCTGCTTTAAACTTATTATGATATCCCGTATATGCGTATGTACATGTATGTGTGTTTATGTATGCATGTATAGTGGCACTCTTGGGCATCTTAGAAAGTTGAATTCAGTAAAGGAAATAGTGAGGAAGATTACCGTACATTGTTAGGAATACTCTTTTAAAAAGGATGAGAGCTTCTTGAAAGTTAGGTATCAAAAGCAGAGTCACAGTTCTGACAAGAAAAAAATATGGAAGGGTAGAGCTTTCAAATGAGCTGAGATTTTAACGGGCCATATACAGGAAATGGGAAGAAGTACAGATCACCGAGGAAACCTGTAGCTAATATTTCTAGGGAGTAGGTCAGAAGGCTCAAACTCTCAAGAGAGGTTAAAAATAAAACATTCAGAGGTAGTCTCTAGCCAGTAGATAGCAAACAGAAAACAGGATTGTTCAGTACATACTGTGCCTTTCTGTCTTCTCCCAAAAATCCCCTTACAGGGAGAAAGGTGGTCTGTAAGTAACAGGGAGGGAGGGAGGGAGGGAGGAAGGTGTTCAATGTAGCACTAGTAGAATAAAAGAACAATGAGGTAACTGCTCCCCAAGACCCTTAGTTCCGTGAAATTAAGTAAAGCCTCCAGAGGTAGATGATCTGTATCCAAGGCTGCAAAAGAAGCTTGTGGGTGCAGTTTCAGAACCTCTGCCTATAATCCTCGAGAATTCTTAGGAAACAGATGAGATTCCTGTAGACTGGAGGGAGAGGCAAAAGTTGTTCTCATCTTGGGGAAAAAGGAAGAAGTCCATGTAGCTACCAACCAGTCAGCTTGACATAAATAGCAAAAAGGATTCTAAAGCAGATAAGTAAACAGTCAACTGTCTCTTTCTCTCTTTGTAGAGTTACAGACTTCCTAGATCAGAAAAATGTTATAATGTGTACTGATTTCAGCAAGGCCGAAATCCTATTGGGTAGTACTCACTTGTGCAGCAGGAATGTCTTCATCAGCAGTGGCAGATTACTGATGATTAAAGACGTCTGTGTCCAGTTTTGATACAAATGCAACTTTGTCACATTGTGTGCACACCAAAGGAAGGTTTTCATTAATCTGCTGCTAAAGATGGCATCATTCTCATACAGGCAGGACTGCTCAATAGGATTGCATCCATTGTTTAATATAGTGGACTTTGAAGAAGGAATGTAGGAGATGCTCATCAGATTTGCTGATGACATAAAACCAGGAAGTGTAGCTAATATATCTCAAGACAAAATCAGAATTCAAAATTAGCTTAATAATTGAACTGGATCAAAATAAATGAAGTGAGCTTCAACAGGAAAAAGTAGACAAATCAGATGCACAAGTAGAGGATGGGTGGCACTTGGCCTGACAGTCACACATATGAAAAGGACCTAAGGGTCTTGGTAGACCATAGGTCACAAGTCAATAGTGTGATGCAGCAGCAAAAAATCAAATGCAGTTCCAGAACAGAAGTATAGTATCTGGATGAAAAGAAGTATTGGTATCACTTATTCTGCTTTTGGCAGACCCCAGCTAGAAAATGGTGTACAATTCTGGGCATCATTGTCAAAGACGTGCTTAGCAAGCTGGAGCATATATAGAGGAGAGTGACCAAGATGGCAAAGTGTCTGGAAACCAATCCCTGTCATCAACGATTGAGGGAGTTGTGTGTGTTTAACCTTGAATAGAAAAGACTGAAAAATGACATGATAGCCATGTAGATGATGGGACAAGCTTGTGGTGTGGGGCTTCAGAGAATATGACCCAAAGTAATGGATTCAGGAAAAGAGGTTTCAGTTAACCACTAGCAAGAACATTTTAATAATAAGAACTGCTTGACAGTGCGGTGGACCACCCAGGAAAGGGATAGACTCTAGATAATTTTAAACAGGTTAGATGACCATCTGTTAAGAGATGTTTTAGCTGTGGATTACTGGCTTCATGCAGGGGTTGTTTCCTTCCAGCTCTACAGTTCTGTGATTTTTTTTAGTGTTCTATAGTCTTTCACAGCTTGGTTGCTTTCATTTAAATAACACCGTGGCTGGAGTCCTATTTTGCTTTTATCACACACTTGGATATCTCCAGATCAACACCCTCAGTTTGCACCCAGACACACACTAGATGGCCAGAGAACTGTAAATGACTTACACAATTTTTCTTACATGAGCGGCCTTTCATTATAGAATTCTGACCAGTATATTCTGATTTTGTCATTTAGGGCAGTTACATGCGCATACATTTCAAAATCAAAGGTGCCTTGGCAGAAAGGGGGGAATAAAGAAAGAATATATAGCATGTATATCTGTATAAATAGTAGAGATTCTTTTTTTAAAAAGTGCCACAGTTGTGTGATATCCTCATCCCTGTTTTCTGGCCATGGTGTTATGGAATCCACATGGAATTCTGTAACAGAATTTTCTGCTGAGCTTATAATATAGTGCATATAAAATTTACACATGGTAGGCATTCCTTATTTGTGTGATTGATGAGAAAAATGTTTATGTGAGTGTGTGCTGTGTGGATTCATTTGCATTGCCATCAGATTCACTTGTTATGTGTTGAAACTCCAGCATGTAACAAGGAACAACTTATCAAGTTGATTGAATCATAGTGTAACTGAAATGTACACAGTTCTAATGTCATAGAAAAGATAGGCATTCTTTCTTTCTTTCTTTCTTTCTTTCTTTCTTTCTTTTTTGTTGGTTGGCATTCATTCATTCATTCATTCATTCATTCATTCATTCATTCATTCTTTTTTGTTAGTTGGTGTTCTATTCTGTGCCCCCTCCCCAGTACATTCTCTCACATTCCTAATATTACATCATAGACTTGGTATGAAGTACCTTTGAATTTTGTGATCTGTGGTAAAGTTGAAAGTCTTGTCACAGATCCAGAGCTTCACCCTGTAAACCTCTATCAGCATCTAAATGAAATGTGTTGCTAGACCATCAATATTGCAGAGTTGTGATTTGTATCTGTGATATTTTTACAGTTAGATCTATTTGTGAAATGTGTAGAGTAGAATAACCCATTCTGCAGGTTTCTTCCATTTCCTGATACTTGTGCTTTCTTACCTTATAGGTTTATTTGCCTTGTATTCTACAAACCAAGAAGAGGTATGTTGGTTATATGTATGAAACTTTGGACCAGAATGATCCAATATTTGACGCAAAGGGCATAGAAACTGTTAGAAGAGATTCTTGTCCTGCTGTTTCCAAGGTAAAAACCACAAAGTTATTTTCTGTTATTGTTGTTGCTCTTTCTAAAAAAACCCAATTCTTGATTAAATTCCGTAATAGTCTCTAGGCAATGCAGAGGAAGAATCCACTTGACTAAATTAATCCAGTCACTGCCCAGATCAATAGGCAGGAAACACATGATGTTGAAGGAGTTTTCATTGGGTCCGGAGTCTTCTTCCAGCAGGCTTGTTACCTACCTCCACCCAAATCAGAACCCCCATATGAACTCCATTCTATCCTGGCTTTTCAGTTCCATTTACCGTATTTTTTTGCTGTATAAGACGCACTTCCCCCCCCCAAAAAAAAGTGTGGGGGAACGTCTGTGCGTCTTATGGAGCAAAGCTGGCAATTTCGCCCACACTGGCCCCGTGGGGGGTGGGGGAGCCTCCCAAGGGTCCGAGTCTGCCTTCCAGGACCCTTGGGAGGCTATCCCCACCCCCATGGGGCCAGTGGGGGCGAAATCGCCAGCTTCCAGGACCCTTGTGAGGCTTTGAAAGGCTCAGAAAGGTCCTGGAAGCTGGCGATTTCGCCCCCACTGGCCCCATGGGGGTGGGGGGAGCCTCCCAAGGGTCCGAGTCTGCCTTCCAGGACCCTTGGGAGGCTATCCCCACCCCCATGGGGCCAGTGGGGGCGAAATCGCCAGCTTCCAGGACCCTTGTGAGGCTTTGAAAGGCTCAGAAAGGTCCTGGAAGCTGGCGATTTCGCCCCCACTGGCCCCATGGGGGTGGGGGGAGCCTCCCAAGGGTCCGAGTCTGCCTTCCAGGACCCTTGGGAGGCTATCCCCACCCCCATGGGGCCAGCGTGGGGGAAACCGCCACCTTCTGGGACTCTTTTGAGGCTTGGGAAGCTTCAGAAATGTCCCTGAAGGCGGCGATTTCGTCCCCTCTGGCCCTCAGGGGTCTGGGTGAGCCTCCAAAGAGTCCTAGGGTGTGTTCCATAAGACGGACCTCTCCATAAGACTCACAAATTTTTTAGGTGAAGAAAACAGGAAAACAATAATCTGAGCATTGCCTGGCAGGCACTCTCGGACCCTTTGGAGGCTTCCCCCACCCTCACCCCGCTGGCCCAGCAGGCCGAAATGCCCAGATTATTTTTTTCCTGTTTTCTTCTTCTAAAAATTTGGTGCGTCTTATGGAGCGAAAAATACAGTACTTCTTTCTTATGGCTGTTTGTAATTTTTATATCCTGCCCTAATTTTGTTTCTTCCTGGGCTGTGCCTACCAAAATGGATCCTCAACATTGATGTCCATGTACTGTGTGGCAGAGGTGAAGAGCCATTTGAAAGTTAAGGGATGGACAATAGTAGATTTATTAATCGTGCCAGTATTTCAGATCACTGGACCTTTTGGATAGGTTTAAGAAACCCCTATTATGTCTTCCAGATACTTGAGCGTTCAATCAAGCTGCTGTTTGAAACACGCGATATAAGTCATATCAAACAATATGTGCAAAATCAGTGCATGAAATTATTAGAAGGAAAGGCCAGCATGCAAGACTTCATTTTTGCAAAAGAGTACAGAGGAAGTTTTGCATACAGACCTGGAGCATGTATACCAGCTCTAGAAATCACAAGGTAAATCACATCCTGGTATTCTAAGATTGTATTTGATATTGTTTTCATGTTACAGGAGTTAAAAGCATGAATTCAGTGTCTGTTATAAAAGTAATTGAGTATACTGTGGAAACAAGGTCCATTCAATTTAAAACAACAACATCCAAACAGAGTGGTAAAAGTGAGTGCAAGTATACAACACTCCAGTTCAACTGAGTTCTGATGTACATAGCTATAAAAAATTAGCTGTCCGGTAACTTAAGAAACCTTGTCTGTTCAAGTAGTACATTCAGTTGACCAGAAGAGAATGATATTCTAAAAAATCTTGACTGAAATCTAGCAGTAAGTTGCAAGTAGAATAGACCCATTGAATCAGTGGAAGTTGACCAACCAGATCCCCATTGATTCAGTGAGCCTACTTTGGTTGCAACTTATTACTTGATTTCAGCCACCAGCTCATAATACAGATAACAGTACAGAACTAAATGAGCTAGAGCTTCAGAGATTGCTATTTTACATGGACACAATCTTTGGGGAGGGGGAAATTCTCAAAATCTGCCCTTGAATATTGCTGTGGGCAGAGCATTAGGCCTCACAAGAATAGATGACCTCTGTATTTGAATGTTCTTCAGCCATGGGAGAACAGGTTCTGTTGGCAAAATCATAGAAGTCTTCTTATTCTAAATTAGAGAGTATTCAAGTAGTCTTCCATATATGTTTATGTATAGAAATAGGTTTCCTGCTATGAACATCAATGTGTTTGTTTGCTTAAACTTGTACCCCACCCATTTAGTGGACAAGCCACTACTCTGGGTTGATTCCAGGAAATAACAAAATATACTATGCAACAATTTTTTAAAATAGCTTATGAAAACAAATACCCTTTTGGCAAACCATGGGCCAATATAAACTCAGTACAAAATTAATATTACAAAGGGGCGAGGTTCGTAAAGGCCTGGGTAAAAAGCCAATTTTTCACTTGCTTACGGAAGCTCAGGAGGGTGGGGCCAATCACTTCCACAAGGCAAGCAAAGGGGAATAACCCCAAAGATACAATTATTTAAATATTGACTTAATTGATAGAGGCGGGGGATACAGATTTCATTTTTAACAATGTAGTGATAAACCATGCCATTCGGAAAGTGACAAATTTGTCTTTGTCAGCAAGCAGGGTCTTAAGCTTTTCTAGTTCAGAATTACTAGAATGTTTTTGTAAAATAGGGTTGGGAAATCTTTCGTGATAAGGCTGTAATAGTGAACAATAGAGCACTACATGTGCCAAATTCTCCACTGATATTTGGTCACAAGAGCAAACTCTCGTGATACGGAATTTGTGTATAGTGTCCTAATAAACTGGCTAGTGGCAACATATTAAAACGTGCTTGAGTAAAAGCTTTTCTATAATCAAAATTCAGTAAATCAGTAAAATAAGATGGAAGATTTAAAGGCAAGTGTAAAATGTTCTTATATAAAGGGGCCGTTTTTAGGGTGCCTAACAAACCTAAATCGGTTTGAACCCAGTGATCGGACAATCTCTGTTTCAGTAAATGTTTTGCAGTGGATAGGCCAAGGTGTATCATATACTGTTCGGAGAATCCAAGTTTAGCAACTAGTTGCAGTGCAAAAAGTTTCCACAATCTAAAATTCATCTCCCCATACAATGCTATTAAAAATTCTGGCTGGGTGATGAACAAAATTTTCAGCCAGTAATTATTAACTTAAAGATTAATGTCATTATTGACATTAGTATCAGTTCTAATCTAAGAAATGCTGAGGGGGTTGAAGGGGGGACTGCCAGGAGTAATCGAGCAAATTTATTTTGGATTACTTCTAGGGAGGTTAGGTTTCCAGTTCCCCATACAGGATCTGGGGAAGTAGCTGGATTTTGTAAATTTCATGTATGGGTGGGACCAAATGCCCTCCTTTAATTCTATAGACTTATAGAATCCCTTACAGGGGGGGGGGAGTTCCAGCCTGATCTTGGGGCAGCCACTACCAAGAAGGCCCAGCTTCTGGTTGACAACTGCCGGGCCTCTCTTGGAGTGGTCATCGTCAGCATTAAGGATTGAGAGGTGCAAGTGGGTTGGTACAATGGCCTGAGAGAGAGGTGCTCTGACTGGTAGCGAGGTCCTAAACCATAAAGGGCTTTATAAATTAACATCAGTACCTTGAATTTTGCCCAGAAGCATATTGGCAGCCAGTGCAGGCAGGACAGGACAGTTGAAATACAGTCAAATTTAGATGTATCAGTGACCAACCTGGCCATCACATTTTGCACTTGCTGCAGCTTCTGAACCACCTTCAAGAGCAGTCCCATGTGGGGAGCATTGCAGTAGTTACTCCTTGAGATTACCAGCACATGAACCAGTGTTATCAGAGACTTCCTGTTGAGAAGGGAGGCAGAGATGTGCAATCTGCTTCAGATGGAAAAGGGCAGATTTGGCCACAGCCAAGATCTCTTTCTGCATTGAGAAGAAGATATATAATTATAAAATAAGTATGCAGATATGTTCTCATTTTGACTACAGTTGGTTTTCTCAGTTAACTGTTGCTTTCATGTGTATGAAATGGATCTTTCTCTCTTCAAATAGGAGAATGCTTGCATACGACCGACGATCTGAGCCACGTGTTGGTGAAAGAGTACCTTACGTTATTGTGTATGGCATGCCAGGATTGCCTCTCATACAGTTGGTTAGGCGGCCTATTGAGGTTCTTCAGGAGCCGAGCTTGCGGCTGAATGCCACTTACTACATCACCAAGCAAATTCTTCCTCCACTGGCTAGGATCTTATCACTTATTGGCATAGATGTTTTCAGCTGGTACCATGAATTGCCACGGGTAAGTAGGTGAAATAGCAAATATAGCATGTAGCTGCAACCATGGAAAAATGAAAAAGTTTTGTAAAATTCTGTGATATACAAATCAAAGGTATAGCTAGATAAGTGGAGAGATCTGCCTCTCTAGCATTTAGATTGCTTTTTACACTTCTGTGGAATAGTTGCTTACCTGTCTTCCATGCCCCTACTCCTTCAGGTATTTGGTACACATGCTTTCTCCCTCCTGCAAGCCTATATTAATTTCCCTTTAAATTTTAAAGCTGGGTACACTAACAGAGGCAGCAGTAATGGCACATTGACTGTCCTGGCCTTCAGTGAAATGTACAGATGCCATGAGGCTATGCGGATCTTTGCATTTGTTGGGAAGAGTATTCTGTGGCTATCCAAAGTTGTTTGCTAGCCAAAGGATTGAGACCGACAACGTGTTTAGTGCAGCACTTCAGAGTTATATTTGGCTAGAAGAGGAGGACTGCCATGAGCAGAGACTGGCTTTCTTCCTTCCATTCCGATATGAACTGCCTTATGTGAGGAGAGGCTTCTGGATATATTGTATGTAGGGCAGATCCAAAGAACTTATTTATTAGGCTTTACCTGTAATTCTGGATATATTTGGAGGGGACTTGCCAGATACTAGTGAATACGGAGTGAAAATAGTAAATTTGATAAAAGTATTTTGGCAAAAATGAATATATTATTCACTTTCCTGTCTAATACTGTCTTCTATAGATCCAGAAAGCTGCCACAGTGTCCCACACTGAGCAGGAAGGCAGAAAAGGGACAATTTCCCAGTATTTCACCACTCTGCATTGTCCTGTGTGTGATGAGTTGACACAACATGGGATCTGCAATAAATGTAGGAGCCAACCACAACACGTACTGGTGGTTCTTCATCAAGATATTCGAGAACTGGAGCGTAAACATGAACATCTGGTTAAGGTAGGGTGAAAAAAAAACCAGTGGAGAGAATAATCTTTTTAGTTTTTTAGCAGCTGGACCCAATAAAGAAAACTGTCAGTCCAAAGTGGGGTACTCTTCAACTGAAATGAACGTACCATACCTTTAAGTTAAAAAATAATTATAACTTCTGAATTTTCATTTATTTAATTTATTTGAATAGTTCTAGCCTGCTCTGTATCAGTACATCTCAGGACATGGTATCCACAATAAAATCACATTAAAAGAAATTATAGAATTTAGATACTGTTAAACAATTAAAACACATTGAAACATTTCAACACAGTTGTACAATCAAAACAAGATTAAAATAAAGGGTTATACACTGGCTCATAATCTCTAATTGCCACGTGTTTGGGTCCTTACATAAATACAAAGAATAAGAATAATAAGAAGAAATGAGTAACTGTGTTACTCTATAATCTGTTGCAAAGAAAACAACAAGGATGATAGAATCATAGAATAATTGAGTTGGAAGAGGCCTGTAGGCCATCAAGTCCAACCCTCTGCTCAATGTTGAAATCCGAATCAGAGCAGATCTGACAGATGATTCTCCCATTTTCTCTTGAATGCCTGCAGTGCTGGAAAACTTACCACCTCCTAAGGTACCGGTAATTGGTTCCATTGCTGTGCTGCTGCTCTAACAGTTAAGAGGTTTTTTCCTGATATTCTCACCTTAACTTATTCTAGTTTGCTTGCATATTTCATAAAGTGTGGTGTTCAAAACGGAATACAGTACACAAGATGAGGCCTCATCAGTGCCGAATAAAGGGGGATTAGTATTTCACAGGATTTGGAGGCTATACTTCTGTTAATGCAGCATAAAATAGCTTTTTGGCAGCTACATCACTTGTCTTGTGGCACTTTGGTAGTTTCTGAAGAAGTGGACTAGCATCCACAGGAAGATTTTTGCCAGTAAAGTTTTTTCATCTTAACATGCCACAACATTTTTGTTTGTTTGCTGCAATGTGAAAATGAAACATTCACTTGAAAACAAAGTAACTTACAGATGGGTCACAAAAGGTATTTCAAGAAACTGAGATGCACTGACCAAAATCCTGTTCACACAAAGTTACAGTACACTAGTCAGATTATACCAATATCCAGCACCAATTGAAATTAATCAAAAGCTTCTTGTCCCCCCGCCCTCCCCTTTTCAAGTTCAGAAGCTCCCTGAGGGTTTCTTTTCATCCTGAACAAACTTTTGGGATGACAGAGGGAGCTTTTATTAGTCGAAAATTGACATATCAGTGCTAGCAGTCCTGATCCAGGTGGTGGCAATCTGGTAACAATTATTGATTATTAAGATTCTTCCCACTCCCTGTCCGAAGGCTCCCAAAGGCTTCCTCACCATGAAAAGGAAACCATAGAGAGCCTCAAAACCTGAAACAGAGGAATAGGGAGCTTTCAATTCAATTTAATTAAATATTAACAGTGCTGGATGATGATGTCATCCAGCCTGTGTGGTGTAGCCCAGTGTCAGAGAAACTCCTGGTTGCATCTTGATTCAAAGAAACTTCTTTCAAAACAGGATTTGTAACATGGATGGAGAGTGGAATGAAATGGTCACCTTTTGATGCTAAGCTGCTACCTTAACCGCCCTATATCTCATATTAGTAGTGATATGCATTTCTTGAGAAATGAAGCCTAAAGACACTTTGGCACCAAGGGTAGTGGGGACAAAGAACTCAGTGTCTCCTGGTTGTTTCCCAAGAGAGGCAGCTGGGGTCGGAGCACTGGTTCACCGGATCAGACAGACATCATTTACAGGTTTCTGTAAAATTTGGAAGCAGGCAACAATACCAGAAGATGATTTTTCACATTGGTTCTTTCCAACTGAAAGATGGGTTTAGATGCTTATAAATCTAGGAATTTGCTCTTAGGATATACCCTGGTGCAAGCTTGCACTGCAGCAATTACCTCTGTGTCCTCCAGATCTTCAATTAACATTAACATTTCCTATATTTCAGATATTGTTTACTTAATGCAGTTAGGAATAAGATTTAGGATTAGTAGATTATTAAACCAATATGAACAATACATTATACATCAAGAGGGAAATATTATATTAGGTTTAGGCCCCTTTGGGCTATATCAGGCAAGCGAATAGGATTTTGTTATATCGAGACAGAATCTATTAAGTTAATAGATTTTGTGTCTATTTGTGTGATTTTCATCAGAAGGGTTTGTGTTCTGCTGTAGCAGAATCAGCTACTGTTCTTTGGGTAGAATCTGCAGGCAGTATGGAATGTGGGTGTGGTAAAAGAAATAGGCATTTGGGGAGGGCTGCAAGAATGCTGCCTGCACCCACTGCAGCAGCTTGTACTAAGAAGAGTGGGTGAGAAAGCCTACAATTGCTATTGTGAGCCCTCCCCATACAAACACTGTCACCCAGCTGCATTGTTCAGCACTGACTCTGTGCAACAGCAGCAGGCAGCCATACATTCAGTGTGTGTCTCCCCTCAGGTGGCAGAAAAGTCTCTGGTTCAAGGTGGGACAGATAGGAGTGAACCTGAGACATGTTTCAGTGACATCTTTGTGCAGTAAGGGGCCAGAAAAGTTGATGAACAAGGCACTTTTCTCCCAAAGAGCTGATGTGCCAGAGAAGGACAAGGATGGCATCCCCACTCAGACTGACACTGTCAGCTTGGGTAGCAGCAGTGCTGCTGGTTTTGTGGTTGGGAAAGGAATTTATGAAGAGCACCATACCCATACTATGCAGCTCCATCATATTCAAGAAAGGGTTTACCCCATTTCCAGCAAATCTCTCCTGTACAAAGCAACCTTGTGGTTGATGGGAACTCCTCTTCAAGCACATACACATCTGATGTAGGAGAAGAGGAGAAATACAGTGGGGTCTCGACTTAAGAACTTAATCCGTATTGGAAGGCAGTTCTCAGGTCGAAAGGTTCTTAAGTTGAATCTGCATTTTCCATAGGAATGCATTGAAAACCATTTAATCCGTATCTGCTCTTTTCGTCCATAGAAACTAATGGGAAGCTGCTATTCTGCCTTCTGCCACTAGAGGGGGATATTTTTTCTTTTTTCCTTTTAACCTAAGATGACTTGGCTTTTAAAAAAAAAGGAAAAATAGAGTTCGTAACTCGACTCTAAGTTCGTAAGTCGAGTCCATATATTCCTATGAGAGCGGTTCGTAAGTCGAAACGTTCGTATGTCGAGCTGTTCGTAAGTCGAGACCCCACTGTAGGTGGGCACTATTTCAGAAACATGTGAACCTGAAATCACCCCTGTTCCTCCAGCTGCCCCACCAGTTGCTGGAACTAGTAGTGATGACAAGTTAGCAATCCCTCTTAAGGAACATAGTCAAAAACCGGAGCTCCCAAGAAGTCAATAATCTGGAATCATTTTCCACAGTATTCAGCAAATACTTGCATCGCTGAGTGCATGCACTGCAAGGAGGTGCTCAAGTGTGGGCAGGGCTTGGGCCACCTCTCCAACATTAGTGTGCTCAGCCACCTGAAGAGTCAGCACAAGGCATTGCTGCTAGTCAATAAAAAGGGGTGAAGTGGCTTTCTCATTATGAAGGATAAGAGGCATCATATCAGCCCAGGGAAGTAGGGAGGAAGATAGGCAAAAGTAGGACATGGAAGGGAGCAAAAGCCAGACCATCTCAATAATAAGTTACCCTGGAGGAACTTTGCAGAAAAAGGCCTTCGGCTATTGTAAAACATAACCTAGGGAAGATGATAGCCCTCAATGACCAGCCATTCTCTCTGGTGGAAAACACCGGTTTCCATAGGTTTGTGGCAGAACTGGCACCATGCTACCAATTGCCATTCTTAACAACCCTTAGCCGTGCCAGATTTATATTGGGGTTTCAGGCACATGGTACAGCAGCATCTGGCTTGGGCACAAGTAGTACATTTTACAAGTGAATCTGGAGTAGCCAGGGTGCAAAAAAAATGCTTATCTCCCCCTGACAAGATCCTGGTGGGGAGGCATCTTAGATAGGGCAACATTCATGGGCAGGATATAGGCGGGCCCTGTTGAATATGGCTGTGATGAAGGGTGACCACACAGCTCACAACATTCACAAGGCTCTGAAGGATATGCTGCTGCAGTGGAATCTAACTATAGAAAGGTTAGGTCTGTTTGTCAGAGACAAGGCTGCAAACAGTGTGGCAGCACTTCAGGCTGGGAAGATGAAAGGGGTTTAATGTGTGGCGCTCACTCTCAACCTAGTAGTTCAGGGTGCTTTGCAGGGTATGGAAGACACGTGCATACTTAATATAATTGAGTAGGCCTGAAAGGTGGCAGGGCATTTTCATCACAGTTTCCAGGGCAATGAGCTGTTGCAACAGAGGCAAGAAAATTTGGAATTGTCACTGCACCACCTAATCCACAATGTGGCAGCTTGATGACTCTCCACTTTCTATGTGCTTAAAAGAGTGCTGGAGCAATGAAGCACATTCCATGATTTGGTACTAGAGATTTCCATTGGTGTGGCTGCACCCCTAGGCAGCGAAAAATGTGACATTATGGGCCATGTGGTCTATGTTCTCTGATGATTTGAGAGTGCAAATCCCTAGTGGGGAGACAGCTATCCTTAGCAAGGTGACCCCGGTATACCAAGAGTTTGTTGGCATGATGGAGGGCATGAGGGGACAGTTTAGGTTAACCAGGGGACTCTGTTGATGGAGAACAGCATTTTTTCCAGCCTGAAGTGGTGGCCCTGGCTTGCAAGCTAAAGGACCTGCTCCCCTACATGTTTGTCTCCTCATGGAAGGAGGAGTATGTTCTAGCAACCTCCTTGGAGTCCTGAATTAAACATTGAGGAATGGTTATGAAGCCGAGGTTCACTCAGCCTTGCATCCTTCCAAGGTTGGTAAATTGAGTACCCAGCTTGATGGGGGTGGACAGTGTGTAACTGGCATAAGTAAGTTGTAAACCACCCAGATAGTGCTTTGAATGCTATGGGGCAGAGTATATAACCAGCACACTTCGCTCTGCTCTTCCACTTGCACAACTTGAAGGGCCCAAACTTTGCTGGTCAGACCCACTTGTTGTAGCCCTAGCTGCTTTATTCCATTCCATTCCAGAGGGGTCCTTAAATTGCAGGAGCAGTTTTTCACAAAGTACATGGATTGAAGTGAGTAGGAATGCTTGAGGAAAATCTGGTGCCCTGGCCTAACATGAGCAGAAGTGCCTTGTGTTAAGCAAAAAGCCGTAATTGCATATAACTGAAGCTTTTCCCCAGTAACAAAAGAATGCCTTCATTATTAAAGTAGATCCTGTGCTTATTTATTTGTAAATAAATTTCACTTTGTTCAGTGTTTCTTGCTACCAAATAAATGTATATAGAGTCAATTTTAGTCAGGATTGACTTACACATATTTTCCAGTGAAATGTATAATCTGTTTTATCCACTCTAGATATGCAAGAACTGTACAGGTTGCTTGGACCATCAAATACCATGTGTTTCATTGAACTGTCCGGTACTTTTCAAGGTCTCCAGAGTGAGCAGAGAACTGTCCAAGGCACCATATCTTCGTCAACTACTTGATCAGTTTTAGACTGCATGTGTTGCAGGATTCCAGGTGCTATTTTCTCCATGTTTACCACTCCAATCCTATCATGCATGGTCCTTCAGTTTCATCTTGTCCAGGATTTTCATTAACTGCTGACTTGTTCTAAAATAATGAATGTTTGTCCTAAGTAAATTAAAAATACATGTGTTTATTTGTTAACCATTCTTTTTAAGATGTCAATGTTATCCATTTTTCTGCCTTTTTACTATATTGTTTTACAATTTTGATATTGGAATAACTGTGTGTTAGCATTTTGTTAAAAATCCATTTCAAAACTAAAAATTTATTTCCCAATGGACCTCTGAGGAAGTACTGAAACCCTTTGAGGATATGGCATTGTGTTTTCTTGAACTGTCGGTATCAATGTGTGTTACTTACAGATATCTCATCAACTTTATAATTTTGATTGCAGAATATTTTGTAAATACACTTTTTTTACTTTTCAAATAACTGAGTAAAATAATGTGCAATGAATTTTATACTGACAATTTTAAAGTTGGTTGGGGTATTTCCTCTTCAGTTTTGCTTGATTCCAAGTAGATTTGTTGTTTTGACCAGACTGTGCAAACAGTAGTAAGTGTAGCATTTTTGAAGCATTTTCTAAAAACCACTGTCTTGCTTTAGCTATTACTGAGGCATTGTGAGGAACTGTGCAAAGACATTTTTGTTACAAAACTGTGGGACTGTTGCAATATTTTAAATAAGAAATTTTATTCCATTTTTGCTTTTGTATAGACATTTTATTGCTTCTAAATATGCTTAATATTTCATTATGTACTGTACAGTTAAAATTTATTTGCCATCATCTTGACAAAATGTGTATTTAGAATATTTGTATAACTGTATAAAATGAAAAGGAATTATGTTGTCACAATTCATTTTTTAAATCAAAAATCATTTTGTTTTAAAAATTAATGGATATCATAGTAAAACTGAACAAAATCAAATAAATGTATGTGCATTTTTTAAGTTCTTGTAATTGCATTTATTTTTAACAATTCTGCCTAAAAGAATTCTTTTAAAAATTGCTCTTTAAAGATTAGTGCCCTTTCATTACATAGCACTCCTGTTTCAAAAACTTTGTAATGGAACTTCTATCTTACTCTGTTTAGTTATCCAAGATTTTTACTGAAAGATTACGCTATCTGAATTTATCTCTCTTTTAACTGTACATACTTTGTACAGGAGAAAGTAGGATTGCATATTGATTTGCAGGAAAATGACCAGAATAGGAAGACTGGATAGGGAGGGGAACGGAGATCTAAATAAACAAAGTACTGTATTGGTTGTTTTAGATTTTTTGGGCTGTCAGAGTTCTGATTCCTTATCTTCTGAAGATCCTGGCCACAGAGACTGGCGAAACGTTAGGAAGAACCACCCTCAGAACACGCCAAAGAACCCGAAAAAACCCACAACACCATCAAATCTCGGCCGTGTAAGCCTTTGATACAAATTACTGTATTCTCAAAGGCTTTCATGGCCGGGATCCGATGGTTGTTGTAGTTTTGCGTGTTTCCAGAACACGGCCAAACAGCCAAAAAAACCTACAACAACCAAATTACTGTTGGGACTGCAGTTTAGGCTACAGGGGAAAGTTACTGCTGGATTCTTAAAAGCCCTAGACAGTGAAAAGAAATTATGGGAGTTGACGTGCAGTATTATCCCGAGAAACATATTTTTCCATATCCCTAATTTCGAACCTATCAGGAGGAATTGTTGCTTTTCTGGAATTACATCTTACTGATCTGGCAATCATGAAGTAAAAATGAGGGGAGCAGGCTGGATTTCACAATCTGGTTTTAAACAGACTTTGCCTGTTAGCTTCTCGTTTCTTGGAATGAGTTCAAAAGGAAATATCTTTAGGAGTAATTTAGCAAATTTGTCCATTCTAAAATAATTATTAGATATACATAAAACTATGTATCTTACCTTAAGGGCTGGTAATTTAATATTCCTCAGAAAAAGCAAGTACATTTGTGGAAGGATCATAGCTTAGTATTTTGCACAAAAAAAAACCCTCCCAGGTTTTATTTCTAGCATATTCCAACAGGGCTAGGAAAGAATCCTGTCTAAAACTCTAGAGTCATTTCCACTCAATTTTGACAAGACTGGACTAAATGAACCAGTGGTCTAATTTCACAATAAGGCAGCTGTTTGTATTGCTAAACTGTTAATGACCCAAGATCCAAAAGCCATAATTTAAGTTCCCTTCTTCCTCCACCAAGGATCTCTGTTTGTGTAGCACCCTACCCATTGTTTCATATTATGTATTGGATGCCTTTTGAGCTTTCTTTACTGTGAAGAACAGAAGAAGCATTTGGAATCAGCAGCCAATTTTCTGTTCATTCCTGGAATACTTATAATCCTATTACTTACATATGTTTGCATTAAATCAAAATGGCATAACCACAGCAGTGAGTTGCCATTTCTTAAAAGAGTTATGGCTTGCATTCCTCATCACATACCAGTCGTGCCACAAGGGATACATACAAGTGTCAGTTCCTTAACCAGTGGCAAAAAAAGCAACCATTTTTCTGGTTTCACAGTGGCTTGCTGGAAATTTGTAGAAATGACCGGGGGAGGGGGCATAAGACAGGCAGAATCACTGCAAGGGACAGCTGGATTCATAAAACAGTATGGCTTTAATAAAAAAATTGGGAACTATAAGTGAGCAACAAAGCATTCCTTACATTTCTACATTCCTGCAGAATACAGATATAAAGCTCTAAGAGGGAGGTTTGTGGCAGGGAAAGACCGGCTTCAAACCCGTTAAAATAAAAGGTACAAGATCAAATAATTTCTGTACAAAGCAAAGGAATACAGTACAACTTGTATATTAAGTTATCTAGGGATCTGCATCAGCTTTAGGGGGAAAGGGGGCTCAAAGAAAGTGGAACCAGTTGAATCAGGATACTGTACAGTATGTCTAGATTACAGAAGTTCAGGAAGCCTCCGTTCCATCCATTTAAGACATCATTTGTACAAATCACTGGTCTTTTGGGGGGTTAAAAATGCTGAAATTTGAACAAAAAGGCTTGCCACCAGTTAATGTAGCAAAAGAAGCAAGCACCAAATAGAAGAGATTGACAGCTAGAGTTCCAGTAAAATGCAGAACCTGTCCTGGAAACTTCCCTCACTGAGTCCTGGGCTGGGCTCTGATCAGTTGTAGTACGTAACTCTTTTAAAAAAATTGCCCATCCACCCAGCCAAGCATTAGTTTCATGTACAGGCATGACAATTTTTTTTCTATTTCTTTCTTTCCAGCAGTTACACAAAATCTTCATGATACTGAAGGACTGAGAAAGAGAATTTAAAGCTTTGTACAGGGTTTGATAGGCTATGTCAAAGTAGAACCAATGACCCCCTTCACATGGCTATTTTCTACATTTTGCGTTTTTCACCAACTGTCCGTTTCTGGCTTTCAGTTTTCAAAACCATTTATTTTTCTTGTGTGTACTTGTGTATGTTCCGGGGGGGGGGATGCACAGCACTCTAATTTGAGCTAAGCAACAAGTGGGTGCCTTGAACTAGCCAGACTACTAATGGTGGACACTAATGGAAGCCGCCTATAGTGGTCATTTGACCAGATAGGCAGGATATAAATACAATAAATAAATAAATAAACATCTTTGACACAGATTTTTCCCTGAGCACTATTCCTGGGCAGAGACAGAAGGAAAGAAGTCTACAAACTAAAGATTCACCACCTTCCCAGAGCTGCTGGTACTGCCCTGCCCTGTCCACCTGCAGTATTTTCGTCTGCAAGCTTCCAGATAAGATACCTGCACCAATCCAAAAACAAATTCATTCAGGCCACCTCCAAATCAACTTGGAGTACACTGATCCTTATTTGTACAGCAAATATTTGGATACAAATCAAATTCGACTGCATCCCCACACCCCTAATCATATACAGTATATATGGTGGCTCTTTATCTATTGTTCCCTTTAATTTCTAAGCTTGTCCTTCAGTTGTTTGCTCAGTTCAGAATTCAGAAGTAATGCTGAAAGCAATGTAGTTAACTGTAACTAATTACTTTCTAACTGGTATAATAGTTACATTTGAAAAGTGTTACTTATAATTAGTAATATTTTCTAGTTACTGTTTAAAGATACCTCTCAGATGCATTTTAGAGGCTTTTACAAACCCACCCCTTTTTTCACATTTTACACCATTCTCTTTATCCATCCTAATGTGCATGTTTGTTATTTGATAAACAAAAACCAACTAGTTACATTTCCAACATTGTTATGAATAATTGTGATGTGTGATCCACTTAATCCTTTTCAGCAAACAAAATTGCCCCTCTGGAATACGCCTTCTGTTACATCAAAGGTAATTCCACTTATAATTAAGTACAGCCCTAAGCCAAATGCCCTAAATGCTGAAACATGACTGTGTACTATTTAACAGTAGAGCAACTAGATTATTAATACAACATAATTATCACAATCCTCCAAATGATAAGAGGCCAAAAGGAACATTTTAGACAAAAGCATTCATTCTGGAATTTGGAACTGTAAATGTTACACAGAAACACTATGTAAATACAATCAATGTTTGCCCATATACTTGATTACTTCATGTTCTAAACAATGATGATCATGGCTCTAAGAGGTGTTTTATTCAAGAATTTCACAATTCTCAATTTCCCTGCAAACACAAACTCCTAGCTGCATTACAAAATCATTCCACCAGTGGACATAGCAAGGTGGTAAAATTTAATCATAAATAATAACTAACAAGGCAAATATGATATGAGAATTAGAACAGCTTTTCAAAAGGTGGATAGTCAAAAAAAGTATACCGTTTATTTCATAATGCCAGCCTCATACTGTTGATTACAAACTTATACAAGTACTCCTCGTATACTCACTGTGTACAGTATATGCACTATTGGGGGGATAGGATTTATCCAGAAATTACTGAGTGTACAGCTTTGCACCAGTGTCTGTAGTTATGCTTTACTATGAGGTTTATATAAAACCAGTATTTAATTCTTCCTTAACATTATTTTTCAGTTGGCAACCATGTTTTTAATCACACTCTTAGATTTCACTGTTGAAAATACAATGAAATCCAACTAACAATATTTGTCCCACATGCCAAAATTAGAATACCTGCTTCTTGTTCCAAAGAACCTTTTTTCAAAACAGAGGATTTGTAACATGGGAGGACAGAGGGTGATCAAAGGAGGGGAATTTTACAGGAGGCATATACAAGCCCTTTCAGATGTCCCATGTAGCATTTTGGATCTTGTTCCCTGTTTACATCCAAAATTAAATCTATCTCTGTAGACTGTAGTAAAATCAAATAAATTCAATCTAAATGCACTAACGTTCTCAATTCATGTAGATATCACTAAGTCTAGTTTTAAAATTAGTGAAATGTGTAACTTTAAATTCCAGAAGTATACAAAACAATCAAAACAACTTACAGTTTAATGCTTCTTTTAAAAATACATATTTTCCTTCCATCAGCTCTTAGTATTAAAATACTTCACCACAGAATTTCCCTGTGAGGTAGTTTTATTTTCAAACTTATCCAGAGGCAAAGAAGTGTTATAATTTCCCAGTTTTTAAGTTCCAGTCTAGATTTCCTCTAATGTCCCAACATAAATATATCAGATACAATAGTGTATTGCCAGTTGTATCTAAGGTCACTTAACAAACAGTACCACTGCAGTAACAACAAAACACATCTGTGCAGAGACAGTTCTCTTCCATTATATATCACAATCCCATACCTGAAAATGTGGGAGAGAATGAAAGGTAAGAACGAAATACACTCGCAAGGCAGGGAGTCACTATTCAAAGCATATTGCACTCTGCAGTGGACTGCAGCTACAGCCTTCCTCTACACACATGCCACTGCCAGCAATGTGGCATTAAAATTCATCTGCTGATCCTGCTGAAGACCAATCTTAAATCTCAACAGCTTCACTCAGTGACACCCATTAAATCTGCAAAATCACAACTCTTGCTTTTATTGTTTGTCCTTCCTTCTCTTTGCACACAGTGCTCCCAAGCAAATTTTAAAATCATACTTTTCTTTCTTTATAAATGTGGAATAATGCAGTCAACTACATACGAAAAGTGTTCATTTGAAAAAAAAAATAGTCTTTTTCCAAAATACAAAAATAAAATTTGTGGAGTCATCGATCACAACATTGGTCGTCAAAGTATAAGGTGCCATAATTTTAGCTTTCCCGTTTGCATCTTGCCATGCAGCAGGCATACTCTTCTGTAGAGCATGCCTGTGGTTGTGAAAAATAAAAGATTCATACTCCAGAAAGAGAAGCTCCACTGTCTGGCATAACAGTGTGAAGGAAAGGCCCTACAGAATTCCTGTTGGTGAACAGGAATATTTTTCAACAGCAATTAAAATTAGAACATTCCTATTCTATTACAGTTTAGCAAACTGTTGCCACACGATGCTGGTTGACATCCTGTTGCACAGCTCTATGTGTGCAAGAAAGATTATGTAAGCAGCAGCAAACTGCTGCCAATTAAAGGCAAGTTGCTACTGATTAATGATTATTGGGTTCACACAACTCGTATATGATGAAATTGGGTACACCCTGAAATTTCAAATGGAAGCCTTTAAATAGTGATTTCCTGCTGCTGCTGACATCATCACTGTTACACACACAACAGGATTTCAGCCATTATACCCTAACATTTTGTTAGGAAAGGATAGTCTGTACCTACACTTGAAAAAGAACTGCTATATCCAGGTTCATCCTACTTCTAGAAAAGCTGCCAATAAAAAGAGCATCAAAGGAAACCTTTGCAACTGTAGTACACAGATACTAGTGATTATAAGCAACATCACTGATGCAGATAATATAGTGGGAAAACAGTTTTATACTGACACCACTCTTGTTTTTCAGAGATACTTTGAAAAGATGAAGTTGTAGTGTAGCAGGGGAAATGTGGTCTATACAGCTACATTAAGGTAATGTTGCAACTCAGGGTTGTAGGAATACAGATGGAAACTAAAAAAAGGAAGGGATCATCCACAGTGCTCTCAATAATTCATTTGAAATCACAGACTACAGTTTGAACATCTGTCATATCTTGGTTTAAAAACAAATGTAAACTATTACCTTGGTAAAGAATTAAGAAGCCTAAAATGATTTCATTACATTAATCTCTTCAGTGTCAGGCTCTGTATTTGTCTAAGCAACTTAAAGAGTGAAGCTTCATACCTTTTTGAAGAGCTATTATACTTAGGAACATTAGGAAATGTTCACCTTTGCTCCCATTTCCCACCACCATCATATTCATCCAAGGGGGCTCACTGAACTATTCCTCCCATTCCCACATAATTTCACACAGAAACTGGAATTACTGAGTTTCTCAATACCACTGAAATGTCATATACCTTTACTTCTTGCTAAATGTCTTCTTGTTGTAAAATAAACCAGCTTTAGTCATTTTTACTTGAGCTTTTGCCTCTTGGAGATACGCTAGCAAGCACAGGAGAATTACATGATACATTTTCTGAAGCATGTGGACTGGAGGTGGTAAGTACAGATTGCCCTTGGATCTTCTTAGATGTTTCAATTACCGAGTTCTGCAGAGTATCATTCATCTCAATGACTTCAAAGTCTACATCATTCCATTCCCTGCCATCCTCATTATCACCCTCATCGTCTTCCTCAACATGAGAGTTGGACAACAAGGCTTCCTGAAGTTCACTATCTCCAACATCCTTCCGCTTAGCATCACAAGGGGATGTTGCTAATTTATACAGCACAGGGAACAGCACTGCAGTCATGGAGGCTGCTCCCAAAGCACTGTACATTAGCACAGGGAGGGCTGGATAGTATCCCTGAAGTAAACCAACCACTGCTGGGATACACATTTCCCCGAGAGCTGCACCCATTACAAAGAGTGCTGCAGATTTCCCTTGGATGGTAGTATACTGTTCAATCCAAGAAATACCACTGGGGAAGATAGTAGCCATTGATGCTCCATACACTGCGGAGCCAAGCCACAAAGAGACAGGATGTTTACTGAACAGTGCAAGGAACAAAGATGACACCGTGGAGCATATGACGCTCAGAAGGATCATAGTTCCAGGATACGAACAGGCTGCAAAACAGATAGCCAGTCCTCTACAAGTTGCAAATGTTCCCCAAAAGACAGTATTCAACCCTGCTGCTTCATTCTCTGTCATAGCAACATAGGTTTTTGCATAAGTAAAAATGTAAGAGCCATAGGTCACTTCTGCTCCAACATAGCACAAAAAGAAGAATGAGAGTAGTAGTATGAGGGCCTTGTGATATTTGGCAGTCTTGAATGTTTTTGTGGAAAGCTTCACTCTGTCTCGAACAGCACTGCTCTTCAAATACAAAATAAAGAAAAACACTGAAACAAACAAGAGATAGGTGCCTATAACAATGTAAGACCATACAAAGTTTAAGGTCAGATGTAGCTTCAAAGATGATGGAGGAGAAGAAAGAGAATTCACAGAAGACTGGTTGTCATCACTGCCACTTGGATGAGCCTGGGGACCAGTAACTCTCCCACCCAGGGCCAGTTTGGCCAGGATGGGAGCCACAACAGCACCCAGGGCAAAACTGAAATGTAACGCCTGCATATGCGGACCAGCTTCTGACCCCCATGTGTCCAAAGCAAGAACATTGCCACCTGTAGAGTAAAAAAAAAAAACAAATAAATTAAATTTTGTTATGACGAACGGTTCCTCAAAAATACTGTATTTGCAAAGAACATTGCCACCTGTAGAGTAAAAAAATAAAATAAACAAATACATTAAATTTTCTTATGACAAACGGTTCCTCAAAAACACTGTATTTGCTGGCATATAAGACTACTTTTTTGCCCTGAAAAACATGCCTCCAAGGGGGGGGCGTCTTATACGCCGGGTGCACTTCAGTTGGGATAGACATAGCTGCCCATAGTAGCCTCCCGATGCCTGCCCACCTCATTCTACATACCGTCCAGTATCGCGCGGTATCGAGTGCGGCCACAGTGAACATCAGCAGCAAGACGGGGTGACAGCCTTTTCTATGTGACGGGCCCATTCTGCTCGGCGGGAAACCCACCTCATTCTACATACCGTCCAGCATCACGCAGTATCCAGTGCAGCCACAGCGAACATCAGCAGCGAGACATGGGTGACAGCCTTTTCTATGTGACCGGCCCGTTCTGCTTGGCGGGAAGCAGCGCCGCTCCAGCCCACCCCTTGTCTACGCAGAGTTCACACATGCGTACTTGTGCCGGTCACAGGAAGATGCAGGGGCGGGCCGGAGGCGCTGCGGCCATACAATGGTGACAATTTGGTGTGTGGAAGGTGTGCGGAAGAGGGGGTAGTCTTATATGGTGAGTATATAACAAACTCTATATTTAGAGTGGAAATGTTGGGGGGGTCATCTTATACGCCCAGTCGTCTTATATGCAGGCAAATACAGTACACTAGCCTTAATATGACTGCTGAACCTTTGGAAAACACAGATAGTGTGTCACCACACTGTGGAATCCCCCTCCCCTGGGAAGCCAGGTTAGCCCCCCCCTTCTTGACTCTCTTTTTAAAGGCAGACTTCTAACTGATCTAGAGAAGCAAGTGCATATACTGAATTGAGTGGGTACATTTTAAGTGTTTTAATTGTTGGGTTTTAATGTTATTTTTGAAATGTTAATTTAAAAGCTGATTTAGTGTAGCACACAGAACATCAGTCTAGGACTCAAGAACCTGGGTTCAAATCCCCACTTGGCCATGGAAATTCACAGCACTGATTTTTTTTAAAATTAAATATGTCACATATCTCGGAAACTCTGCTATAGTTGCTGTAAGTCTGAATGAAGACACATAGCACACATTTGTTTAATTGGTTTTTAATACATCTTAACTGTGTTCTTAATTGCACTATATTGTTTTAATTTATTGTGAACTGCCTTGGGTCACCTATGGGGAGAAAAGAACATACAGTATAAAAGAAATAAAACCACAGAAATATAGAGTAAATGACAGTCAAATATAAAAGGAAGGGCAGGTTGCTTGCTGGCATTTTTTTCTATTCTGGTTGATCTTTCTCCTTTGCAACCACTTCTTTAGCCTCCAACAGGACATAAATCTTTTCTGAGTTCAACCCATGTGAACTAACTTGACTGGGCCACTGTGCTCCATGCACACCATCAAAGGTAAGTAGCATTGAGATGTTAGCAACACACAATGGCAATTTACATTTAATGAATGCAACAAATTCCTAGTTTAACCTAACCCTGTATGACAGAATACGGCAACAAGAAAACGGTGGTATTGAGTTTTTACCTGTATCCAGGACGCCCATTGAAAAACCAATGACAGACATCATAGCTGTTAGCAAAAGTGCTTTCTTACACCATGGGATAGCATACAGGCCCATAGTCGTGCCCAGCATAGATAATCCTATAAAATCAAATAATTAAGAATGAATGAGATATACAATTACTAACCACAGTTTTTCATATTTCATTTCAAAACTCATTTTTTGAATTCCAGGAAAAAAACAAGCTTGATTTGTAATACAGTAAGTGAGTTTTTAAAAAGTGTAGTTTTGGTTAATGTCACATATTGACATCAGAAGCATGCACAGGCTGCAGCATCCTACAGGCAATTACTTGAGAGTAAGACCCACTGGAATGAACGAGGCTTTCTTCCGAACAGCCACATGTAGGCATATATTATTAGTTTCCAAAAAATGAAGTCACAAACCGGCAAATGCACTGGCTTCAGCAGTTTAGAATGAATAATGGCAAAGGAAACAGACAGCTTATTTTAAAATGATTTCACAGGAGGGGTCAGAAACCTGTCCATTGGCCAAAGTGGGTAAAGTCTCTGACAGTGAAGTCTGACAAATCTTGGATGGCCAAAGGCTCTTCACCCTTGCTTTAAAGAGTACAACTTTGTTCGAGAAAGCATTTTCAAGCACATGAGAGGAGGGGAGATATTTCTTCTGAAAGTAGCAGCCCCTCATAAGGTTCCATTCAAGAGGGATATTTCAGTATCTTTGATTAGGGGAAGGGCTATTTCTAGAAAGGAGGCCGAAAAGCCAGAGTACTCAATCAGAAAAGCGCACACTGGACTTAGATTCCACGAGCGTTCAAATACAAGGGTAAAATATCAACATATTACTCCCACTCTGGCCGCCTTGCACTGGCTGCCCATTCAGTTCTGCATAGATTTCAAAGTCTTAACACTTACGTATAAAGCCCTAAACGGTTTAGGGCCTCGTTATCTGACAGAACGCCTTCTCCCACCTAGGTCTACCCGTACCACCCGATCTAGCCAGGAGGTGAGATTGAGGAGCCTAACACCGAGGGAGGCCCAGAAGGAAAAAACATGAAACCAGGCCTTCTCAGCGGTGGCTCCTCGTCTTTGGAATAGCCTCCCTCCTGAGATTCGCATGGTCCCTTCCCTGGGCATCTTCAAATGCCAACTGAAAACCTGGCTGTTCAAGCAAGCCTTTCCTCCATCCACTGTCTGATTTTGTTTTGTGTGCCTTCTCCCATCTGGATCTTTGTGTTTTTTAGTAATATGTTTTTATGGTTTTAAACTCTATTTAGATTTGATATGTTGTTACCCGCCCAGAGTAGTCGGTACGACTAGATGAGCAAGCTATAAATGTAACAAAGAAACAAACAAATAAATAAAGGTAATCAAAATTATTACCTAAGACTATTTTTAAAATGTACAGTGGTGCCTCACTTAACGAGTGCCTCGTTTAGCGATGAATTCGCATAAAGATGTGGTTTTTTAGAAAATAATATGCACCGTATAACGATGTTTCCTATGGGCGATTTTCGCTTAGCGAAGTTTGGGACCATGCTTCGCATAACGAATGCGATTTTAGGTCCCCTGCTTCACTTAACGATGTTTCTTTTTTCAATTTAAAAAGTGTCTTAGAAGGGTCAAAAACGGTTCTAAATGCTTGGATTAGTTAGAGGACCCCCTAAGTCGTGTGCAAACCTGATTTGGCTTTGATCTGACTTTTTGTTAATTTATGGTGAATTTTTTTTTTGGCCTATAGGAACTATGGGCTTTTTTAAAATCCAGAAGTGTGTGGCAACACTCTGCTTTAGTTTCCTTTGAAATCAAGAATTCTAGAAGGACATGGTCACTCTCGCCTACAGTTCCCCTTAATGCCACTTCCCCCATCAAGTCATCTTTGTTGGTCAGAATCAAATCAAGGAATACAAGGTACCTGTGATACAAGTATAAAAGAAACCCTTATCCTAAAGAGAGCCTTAGGAGGCTCAGAACATGAAAAGCAAAGCCAAGCAAAGCAAAGCGTGCTGCTTAAAAGCGGAGATAGTACGCTTTTAATTACAGTAAGATCCTTGTATCTGCAGGGAATTGGTTCCAGGCCCCCTTCCCACAGATGCTGAAAAATGCAAATTATAGCAAACACTATTATAATGTTGTTGTTTAGTTGTTAAGTCCTGTCCGGCTCTTTGTGACCCCATGGAGCAGAGCACGGCAGGCCCTTGTCTTCCACTGCCTCCCGGAGTTTCGTCAAAATAGCAAACACTAAACAAAGCATGGTCTCTGCCTCCCTATCGTGGCCAGTTCTGGTAATAACACCATTACAACATTTATCTAGTGCAGGGGTCCCCAACCCCCCAGTCCACAGCCCTGGAACTAGGCCGCGGAGACAGATCTCTGCCCCCGCATACATGGTGGGTGCATTGTGCTCACGGAGGGGCATCGCGCTCGTAGAGGGGCATGGCACACTCACGCGCATGCGCACAAGCACAACACGCCCGCCCACAAGCCGACACACCCTCCCACAAGTGTAGGGGTACCCCCACCCTCCCTGCGCACAGAACCTGCAGCCCCCAACCAGTCCGTGGCCCCAAAACGGTTGGGGACTAGTGAATGCTGTACATAGCATGGTCTCTAACTCCCTCTACTGGTCACTTCTGGTAACTCCAATGTTAAAAGTATACAGTACATATGGAATTTTTCTTTTAATATTTTCAGACCGTGGATAAGTGAATCATTGGATACCGATCCCGCAGATACGGGGGTTCTACTGGAATTTAAATTAAATAAACTAGCCAGATTATTATCATGCTATTTGCACAGCGTAATGTCATGCAAGAGGATTTCAGCCATAAAATGACATTCAGAGGTAACAGAATATAAATGTAGATACAAATTAGAGAGAAAAAAGTAGACATATGTGCCCGTGTGTTTTTCAAATCAATGGAATATGACATGGGAAAGATTTATGACTGAATACACAGAAAACTAGGAACAGGCATATGTGCTCCCCCGATCTCCATTTATAAAGAACACATGTCTGAATATGAAGTTTGGCAGGAAAGTAAAGAGGGGAACTAAGTCTAGGCCCTGGCACATTTCCCCTCCCAATCAACCAATAGAAGTATTGCTAGTTTAATATACGAGGATCAAGCACAGAACCCCATAGTATTACAGTATTTGTGCAAGTAATTACCCATCAAGCTAGGGACACATGAGGACTCCCTATTACAATGATGCAAAATACTGTATGATGGTTCACTTCTGTATACTTACCTAAGAGCAGCTGAACATTCATGCAGTCAGTGAGTATTCCACCAAGTAGAGAACCGCTAAAGTACCCAAATGAACGTCCCACGAAGATGTAAGAAATCTGACTGACATTTTTATTCACATTTTCAGCCAGGTCTTGAAATGTAGGCCCTAAGATAGCAATGGCCATACCCTGAAAAGCAAAACAATTACATCAAACTGAGGGCAGCATAAGCTATTTTGCTGCCTTGGGCAGAGAAGCTTCTTTTAAAACTCAGGAACTGGTATTTGGAGTCACAGCATCGTTATTACTGGATACGCCATATGGCCAACCTAACAAGGCTGTCTTGGTGTGGTGGCAAGCAACAAAGGGGCCTGTGGAGGGGATATGGTTGCTCCTCCTGGCCAGCCAGACCCATGCGGGTTGCGCTGGGAGCACCAGGGGTCCAGGCGCTGCTGTGCCTCTTCCTGGCCGCCACTGGGCTGCTGGCAGCATCTTCCTGATGGGCCAAGTAGTGGGAGCTGAGCGCAGTTGTGCAGGTGCTGCAAGAGGCAGCAGTGATGGGGCAGTGGGAACTGCAGGAGCAGTAGGGCCCCCTCTGCACCATGGCCAAGCCCAGTGCGAGGTAGCTGGGAAGGAGCTGGGGGGAAGAAGGGAGGAAGAGGGGGTGCTGTGGAAAGCGGCGGTGGCAGATCCATGGATAAGGGGGCGCAATACTTGCCCCAGGTGCCGGCAACCCACGCTACGCCACCGTCTTACTCATTCTGTTGCTAAGTTAAGAGCTTCCGTGTTCCCACCTGAACCACACATAAGGGAGAAATACAACCCAGCATTCTCAACATGCAGGTGATGGCACTTCCCTCCCAGTCATCAGATGACACCACTCACAGGCCCCAGGTCCGTCCACCCTCTGACCTTACCCATTTATAAATCAAGCCTGAAGTGCACTACAAGCTGTTCTCTACATTTTAATCCTCTGTTGTACTGTAGCTTGATTTATAGAAGATTTCTGTGTGTTTTATACTGCAAATTACCTGACGGCCGCCCTAGAAAAATATTACTAAAGTCGAGTTTGGGGAAGAGAGGCCAGCCGGCGGCAAGCCCTTGGGTTCGGCAAGAAGACCCCCCTCCCGCCGCCTTTCCTCCTCTTGATCGGAGCAGAGAGTTTCGACCGCTTTCAGGCAGGGCAGGCCGGCCTTCCGCGGGTCGCTCCCGTCACCAGCGGGAAGGCCGGCCAGATC